TCAGTGAACTGAAGCAACATTGTGAAGAAGCCTGGGTCAAACTTTTCCCACAAAGATGTAAGAGATGGATAAAGTCATGCAGAAAAAAATTCCTTTAAGTTATTGGAGTTAAGACGGTTCTATAAGCTACTGAATTCACACGACTGGGCATTTAAGGAAAAAACTGTTGCTTCAGCTTCAATTTATGCTAAAAAATAACTACATGATTTATATATGCATCTGTTTTTCATAGGTTTCTATTATTACTATTTACATTTGAATAAATAAAATATAATAAAACAATAAAAAATTATTAAAGTTATAGCAATATGTTACTTTTAACTAATGTTTTCCTACTAATTTACTAATTATTTATTCTTTGAGCCCTAACTTACATTTTGTGGTGTTTTTTGAATTTAATTTAATTTTGTTTCACCTCAAACATATAATGCTATTACCAATGCTACTACTTTTTATGAGGCATAATAATTTAATAAACATAAAAAAACAGATTCCAACTTAAATTGAATCTATTTTAAATGTCGTCAATGTGTATCGGCTTTATGTGGGTCTTACTCTTTATGGCAAATAGCAAAACAAAAATGTGCAGTCTGTATGTTTTATTGTAGAAGTATCACCGGCATGAGGGCATGACCTAAAACTCTGCATCAATACAATTACAGATGCATTCTATCTTACCCAGCATGAAGTTTTTGATGTGCACTTTATGTGCGATTCAAATGTGTGGATTGAAGAACACACACACGGACACAAAGGAGGCAGCTAAGTGAAGCAGGCGCCTGCCTAAAAACTGCAATAGTGATACTGTGCTTTTAGGGGTCAGCCAAGACATATTTAGCATTCACATCCCTCCATCAACTGGCAGACATAAATTTTATATGTTGTTCATTTTGTTACAATAAAATTGGTGAAGTGGATCCTGAAAACCTTTTATCGAAAATGGTGTGGCACAGAACCATGAAATACAAGTGCAAGTGACAGGAGTATGAATTCACATGACTTCACATTTTTGCATTTCCTCAAAGTGACAAGTAAACACCTTAAATCTGTAATGCTATATGCATAATGCATCAACTGTGTTTTGACATCCATCATTTAATGCTGACTACAGCAAAATGTCAGCTTATAGTGCCACCACCAAGGAAACATAATGCAGGGAATATATTCAGGTCACAAAGTTTTAAAAGGCTTGCAAATTCTCTCTGTGTGCGAGTGTGTGCGTGCCTTTCCTGTCAAGAAACTCAATGAGCTGCTTACATTACAAAAGAGATCTTTCAGCCCTTTGCAACGGAAAAGGCACCAAATAGTTTAGTACACAGCGGGAAGCACACACTGAACTGAAGCATGGATAATCATAACTTTTGTTACACCAATTATTGAACTAGGAGATAGCAGCGGTTTGACACTTCAACCAGGGAGCACAGCTCAGATAGTGCAAGCATCATTTTGTCGATGTCCATAAAGGATGATGTTTACTCCACTGGAGAGTGACAGCAAGTTTTTTGGATTCTGCCTCTAAAACGCCACGCTTATTGTATCATAGTGAACATGTAGACTGTGGGAAGACGTAGGAGAGCGCCTTCCACTCTGCGCAGCGCAACCCCAGAAAGTGGCGTTGGTGAGAACAGGGATACATGAGGCCTGCTGTAGAGCTGCTTTCAAAGCCTGTTAGGTTACAAACAGCTCAAAAGTCGTTATGCAGTGTGAGCTGGCAAAATCCAAACAGAGAGCTGAGAGTCTACTGAGCACTGAAAAACAGAAGAGCTCAAATGTATTTATCTGCCCGATTGCCTTAATCTATTTCTGAGATTATTCATCAGACATTCACATACACCCCATATGAAAAACACTGTTTATCTCCAAAGAAAGACACTGTTTCTCTTTATAGACTAATCTTGTGTCCTTGTGATTGAAATAACAGTATGCCTCTTGAATTGCCTAATTATACTTAACACAGTCAATTTTTCTCTTTTTTATATGTTTTATATTAATGCTAACTTTTTCTTTTTTTTAATGAAAAATGAAAATTATGCCCCAAAGCAAAGACGCTGGCTTTTGCTTTTGTTAGACTGTAACTTAGTTTATTCAGCTACAATCTACAATAGATGAGTGAGATCTGGGTTACATGCCCCCTTATCCCTGTAGCCCTGCGGGCACAGCTATGCTCTGTGGTTGACTACATGCTACAGCAGCCGGGAGAAGCTCTCCCCCAGGAAAGCACATGTTTACTTATTCATTTGCACCTCTAAATTCCACAGACAGCGTCTGAATGAGAGCATCGCTAGGAGGAAGGAATCCTCACAGCAATACCCATGATACAATAGCAGCACCTGGTTATATGAGTGTATTTTCTTATGTATGCATGATTGCATGTCACTGTGTTTTCTTAAATGGGCCGTTAAAGTAAGACCCGGTTATTGATGATGCCAGTCTCAAACCATTAGTTTGGGTTAGAAGACATAAACCGGCGAGCTTCTGGATGGACGTGGCTTTCTGCAAGTACTGCTCCCCAGAGTGGACGCGCTCTCAGATTTACTCCTGCCGATTGTTGCTTGCTGGCACTATTATCGACAGCGTATCGCTCACACAGGCTGGAGAAGTAACTGCATCGGCATTCTAATAAAAATGTGGATATGCCCTCCATTACGAAAAGAAAAAAAAAAGGCCTTTTGAACCTTCACTTTGATTTGTATTTACAACAGTCGCTGTGGTGGCACTAACTGCTTACCTCAAGGCATGTCGAACCTTTCAAGCTAATCATAAACTGAGGATCACCTGTTTGTGAATGTTTGTGGATAGGCTGCCTTGGCATGAGTAACCGAGTGTGTTACGTGCGCAAACGCGTGCGCACGCCATGAAGCACTGAGGTGTGTGCGTGCATGTGTTGCTGTTTTGTTGTGACTAATGAGGAGCAGCTGAATTGGCCTGCCTGGTGATTTGTACTAGCTGCTTAATGATGATGAGGCCTGATGGGATGCCTGGTTCGTATGTTTGTCTGCAAACATCAACAATCTGTTCCAGACGATCTGCCAGACTCCAGATCAGGGGGAACAACATCAAATGACACAGTCATGTTGATTACATCATTAAAAAGTATTATCAAAGGTTTAGCAGCATCTAATTGCCAGGGACAAGACTGAAACCGTCAGAAAATTGCGCGGAGTAAACACTCTTTAAAGGCTTGATGAAGGTATAAACACAATGGTTCTGTGTGTGCACATCTTCAGTTAGAGTTACAGTAATGTCAGTTTACAGACGAGACTCAAAGCAGACTTTCAGAGAATTTCAGTTATGAGCGCTTAGCAGACTCTGTGCTCGACAAACTACATCTATCCTTCCTGTGTGGCCTTCTCACTGCCCTCCAGTCTTTTCCTCTTTTCCTTTTCCATTTTTTGACTACTCTCCTTTCCTCCCTCCCATAACCTGTCCCCTTTGGCCAGGAGTGTACATGGAGTCTAATGGGACACTTCTTACCTTGGGAATTAGCCTGTAAGACCCCAATGCTGTCATCAAACTGCATAGATTTGATGTTGAGTGTTGCCAAGATGCATTCCTTATCCTGCAGAGACGCATCTTCGATATTGTTCTGATTGGCTGACAGTATTACACACATGTCGCAGAGGTTGATGTTGACAGCCCTTAAATCTGCCCGACTTAATGGTGTACCCTTCAGGGCGAGGGGAACAAAGAGAAAGAGCAAGACAGCGAGAGAGAGAAAGCAAAACACAGAGAACAGACAGACATGGGGGAGAGAAAAATAAATTTAAGAAGTGAGCAGAGTGGGGCTGTGGGAAATTAGTTAACAAGTATTCTTGTTTTGAGGCGATGACATTCCACTGATCTAACCGGGCGTTGGAGATTCAGAGACACGGACTAATCTAAAGGCTAGCCTGCGCTGAGGGCTGTGTTTGTGATTCTCCTCTGATCATCAGTCAAACCAGGCCTAACAAGCTCTAAGGCAGCAAGCCACGCCATCTGTGATGGGCACTGCAGCTGCAACGCTCATAAACTCCACTTTGGATATGCAGGATGTGTCACTGCTAGGGATGAGGGAGGCTCACTGAGCTCTCATGAAGTAATCATTCAACTGAGAAATGCGCGATCAAACTCAAAATGACAATCGCTTGAAAGATTTCAGTATGAGTGCAACTTAAAATGTCAGCGCCTTCTAGTTGGACAGATATTCAACATGCAGGTGAAGTAGTACACTCACAGGTAAGATGGAAACCTTGGGGAAGTTGTGTAAAGTTTCCCACTCTCTCCGAAGGTAATCCAGCGAGCCCACAAAAACTATAGGCTTTAGCTCGTGGTAATGGAAGTTGCTGGCTCTTAAAGGCATCACCAAGTTTCGCAGCCCCACTAAAGCGGACGTGACATCCCCAAATATACAGACCACTACATGGCCGCTTAGCACTGTCATGGAGGCTTCACTCCGGGTCTGTGGGGAACAGAGGGACACGGGGAAGGGGGGGAGAGAAAAGCAGAGAATGAGGGAAAAAAGCGAAGGCAGAAAAGAGATGAGGAGGCACACAGAGACAAACACAGGTTTACAGAATAAAAATGAGTGCCGATAACAGAAAACTGGGTCAGGTGCATGAAGTTAAACCCCCCCCCCCCACATATCTAGAGTTTAAATGTGCTTAAAGGCATCACATAAACTGTTATATATCCACATGTAATCATTTATTAACCATGTGTTTGGTTTTATTATTAGCTCTTCATTAGACAAATTAAACACGCACGAATGTAAGCTGTAAACTGTTACATTCATAAAAAAAGTACAGCTGCAAATTGTCTCATTTTCAGCTGGTGGCAAATGATGTTTATCTGTGTATCTGAAACATTTTGGTGAAGCAGCCTTCGTATTCCCTTGAGTTGAGTGAAAACAGCACCTGGGTCACTCGAGTCTTAGACAAAGCAAAGATATGTCGTATCTTTACTATGCACAGTAGGTGACTGCGCCTTCTATTTGATCCTACACAAACAATTTACACACTAACATAAATGCTTTAAACCGTCTCGTTAAAGCATCCGAGCAAAGTCATGCACCGAGTGTTGAAATGCTGCTCACTCATTCCTTGGTGGATATACACATTATACTGTATATATAAATATAAAAACAAACTCACCTTGAAACAACAGAGAGGCAGTGAGAGAAATTTCAATACACATTAGTATGTGATTGTGTTACTGCAGTACTGAGGGGAAACATTTGCTCCTGAGCATACTTACTAGTACCTTCTTTTTTTATATACACTATTTTTCCCCTCACTGGGTAGCAGTTACAGAACTTTTGCACCACTTACCAGGATGACTTTTTCGATGTCTTTTGAAGGGCACCAGTGAAACATCCCTGTCGAGTCATACCTCTTCACGTTCATGTCCATATTCTCAATTTGTTCATTTCCAGGAATTAGAAGGGGATCGTGTCGACTGGAAAAGAAAAAATATTTATGTTAGGCTGTTTTGTGGCAGAAGCCAGGCAGGGTTCCTTGATATCTGTGCTGTCTGATCGTTAAAAGTCCATCTCATTCTCAGAGTATGAAACTTTCTACTGCACTGCATAACTAGAATATCTTTCCCTCCAATCTGTCTCATCCCCTATGTAGAGGCATCAGAAAAGTCAATGACCCTTGTGCTCACTGTGGTACAGAGGAGAACAGCAAGATGTGAGTACTACTGACTGAATGGCATGACAACACAAGGCCAATTACCAGCTTTTACCCTCTCTTCCAGTTCCTGACGCCATGTGGCGCAAACAGTAAAAGCTCCAACAGGCTCGCACTTTAAATATTTCAGGAATTTGCCCAATCACATTTTGCTTTCCCAGCTGATGGTCATTAATGTTTCAGCAGCATGTCACAACCAAACAGGCTAATCCACAGCAGTGGGCTGCTGAGTTTTATCTGCTGTAACACTGACCATGAAAGGGTTCCTGTCAGTGTTGTTACGCTGCCTCTCCTGTTCTTGAACTTATTCTACAAGACATGCTCTCACAGCCCCTCTGAACACGGTCCAGAAAATGTGATCAAAAACACAGAGTCAAGATAAACGGCGGAAGTGCTGTTTTCCCACAAAGGCTCCTTGTTTTGCAGCAATGTAAATGTAGTTTATTGACAATTTAAGAAAAATTATGAAATCCTTGGTTAAATTCAATACTGCTGATACTCCTAAAAAAGGGGGGGGAAACTGCAGAGATAGACATGTGAGTAATATGGGAGAAAATATCTCAAGAATTTGACATACATCTCTCTCAGTATCACTCTCTCTATCCTCTATCAACACTGTCATTCACTGACAAGGCTTTGATGCCGTTTCTTCCTTCAACCTGCATTTGGATTGCATGCCATCGCAGGCAAAAGTTAAAGTTAAAGAAAAAAAAAAGCTGTCAATTAGCCACCCTCTCTCTCTCCACCTCTCTTTCCCCCCCTCTCCCCTCTATCAGTTAGAGCAGGTGATAATAACACTGACAGCATTTAGTGTTTTTACACTCAGCCTGAATCTTTCATCCAGAGCCGCGTGTTGCGCCAATCAACTCCACGGAGCCCCCCGTCACTTCAATCTGCTCAGCTCTGCTCGCCTCCACACAGGGGCTGACTGGCGCATGCAGACGGGCTGCCGCTCCACCTCTCACTGCCAAGACAGCTATCTTTCACAGAGCTGTCAGCGGTGTGACTGGCAGCCTGTCACAGGCTCCGCACACCTCCTTCCTCTTCCTTCTCCGCGCCTCGGGTTGAACCTACCACAAGGCTCAGGCAGAGCAGACATGACGTCTGTGCTACGGGGCCACGCCCAAGGGATATCAGCTGCAGATGATACTGTGACATCTTCTGCAAATGGATGCGTGTTGTCAGTCATGACCCATCGTGAATGTTTGTGTGGGTGTGGGGTGGGATGGGATGGTGTTAGCGCCATGGCGGGAATACGGCTCATTAGGAAATTTACAAGCTGGATTGGCTACTAATAAATTATTTAACACAGGGCTCCTAAATGTCACCCAAATAGCGAGCGAAGTGACAGATAAATGCAGATATTCTCTGCTGAGAACTTTCAGTCCTGAACAAGTAGATGCAGAATTACGTGAACTTTGCTTAATTTTTCTAGCATTGTACCAGAATGCAAACTAAATGTTGTGTTGGTGAAATACAATATTTTATCAGATGCACTTTTATGGAGGACAAACAGTATTTCCCTTACAGCATGTCTCACTCCGGTGCCTCCCTCCCTCTCTGTCTCTTTCTTTCTCTCGTACCCTCTCCCTCAGTATATTTCAAACAGAGTTGAATTATTCCAGTGTATCACTCTGCAGTCACAAAGCTGGGGATGGGCGTGCTCCCCCAATCCCTCTCTGCCAGACTACGAAGGCAGCTTCTTGCTTTGAAAATTTTTCCCATCATGCAAACTGACAAAGGCATGCTTTTCAAAAGCCCACAGCCAATCTGTTGATCATTATTTATTTACAAAGGCCTTCAGGCTGCGAGTCCTGTAAAAACCATACTTGATACGTATGTTCGCTCTCTTGCTAGCTCTCCACTGTGTTTTCCCCCTTCTTGCTTGTTGAATAAAGTATCCCTAAGGCTACCTCAAACAATCACTTTTCATTCTGCATAAAATCCACCTCGCAAAGCACAACGGTTTATATAATATATATGGTCTTATATGTTGACAGGGGCAGCTGTGAAGGGGTGGAGGGAGGGACTGTGGACTGCGATGGGTAATTTGATGTTCTGCTAAAGGCTAATACTTGGAGGGAAAAAAAAGAAAAAGCTACACCTATAACAGAGGACCTGTCATCCCAGCACCCAAGAGCCAGCAGAATACAGAAGCAACCCTAAAGCAGAGAAAACTTTGACACCGCTTTGAAGCGTTTTCAAAACTGAGTAAATAACTCGCAAGGATTATTATCACTGTGAGATCAAAGCGCAGATGCATATATTACACGGCAAACGGGGACCGTCTTCTAAGCAGAAAAGGAAGAGAAGAAAAGGTTTTGTGCTTTAAGTTAGGCAAACTAAAGAACCTTTTAAAAAAAGCAGTTATCTGGAAATGTGCCAGTGTCTCGTTGTTTTTGTAGCAGTTTGCTCCCTCTGAGCAAGGGCATCTGAGCTGATGCTCTGCTGCGAACTAGACTGAAGGGTATGACTCTGTGTTGGGCTAATGGTTTGGCAAGTGTGAAGGCTTATTAAGTGCTTGTTTTGTTGTGAGGGGGAGGCCGACAACTATACTGGACAAAAATCACATAGGCATGCCAGTGCAGTAGGAGGATTGCTGCCTAAGGGAAACTAGCAGGGCTAACGTACACGGCACTCGACCAGAATGGTACAGTAATAAGTGAAAACATTATGCAGCGTATGAAAGAGAACAAAACAGAACTACTTTGTATAATAGCTCATATTTATATTGATTTTATTTGGAAATGTTAACTATTCCACCTTAGAGTTTGCTTATTTTTTAAAGGGTTTAAATTCTATAAATAAGATTAAAATTATATATATTATGAGGCCTCTCTTTAGAGTTCCTTAATGTAAACCCTCGCTCTCATTAGGAGACGAGCAGTGTAGCTATGAGTGTTTCTGTCCTGTTAGATCTTCGCCACCGTTCCTTCATCCCGCCGTCCCAACCCGCACAGCTCGGCCTCCCTGCATTTTCCTCTCAGTCGTGCGTCTAACCCCGCCTTGCAGTCAGAGGAGCACAAAAACCTACCCTTTTTATCTTTCAAAATCAATTAACAGCAGTTTAATTCCAAAGGACAGGATAAAAGGAAGGTAATATTTGATTTCATATTTGATTGTGACGATACATCTCGCATATGGCCTTAAGTACCAGATACACTACTCACAGGGGTTCCCACAATAGACGAGTAGCCCGAGGGCAAAGTAACCATGCAGGTCTCTCTGATTGGTTGGTGGTGTCATTAGTGCCAGCATTGTTTAAGGAGTACATGTGGACCAGAACGGAGGAGGTGACAGCTGGGTCTTTAAAGCCAGAGGAGTTTTCAAACGGCTCCTCACAGCCGCTTTTCATGACAGAAATATTATTTCAGCTCTGTCATTAACAGCTGACAGCATGGCATCCTAAACAGCCAGCACCTAACAGGGCATTTCTCTTCTCTTTTTCACTCACAGAGTTTCTTACCTCCCTCTTCTGCCACCCCTAATTTGCCCCCTCCCATCCATCCAAACTCCCACCATCTCACCATCAGCAGCATACGCCTCTGAAGTATCTCTCAGACACATATCCTCCCCCCCCCATCCCCCCCCATCCATGCTCCCTCCCATCTTCCTTATATCTGTCTTCCTCTCACTCCCAGTTTGAAGGCTGGAAGAAGAATAAAATCAGCATCTCTTACCTCATCATTTTGGGCGAGCAGTTGGGTGAGTTTCGCATCCCTCCGTTGCGCTGCTTTTTTTTGGGCGAGAGCGTTGACGGATGCTCGTCTTCGACTGAAAACACATGCGCACAATGTCAGAGCAGAGACAGACGGTTCAGAAAGAGAGCTGGACCTGACATGAAAATAGGCAACAATCAATCAATCATTCAATGCAAACCACAAAAAAAAAAAAAAAAACGAAACCAAAAAAAAGAAAAATAAAAAATCAAAGGGGCAAAAAGGAAAGGAAAAAAAAAAATAGAGAGAGAAAATATTAGTAATGGACAAATGATTAAATCTGAAAAAAGCAGGAGGAAACCACGGAGAAAAAACAATTCATGACCTAAAAGGAAGGTTTATTTAAAAAAATAAGAATTTTTTTTTTTTAAATGTTCCCCATGTTGTGGCTATACTAAGGTGCAATATTGCACATCCTTCACTGACACTTCACTGCGTCTGTCCACCCACCGAACTCTGCAGGCGGTTGGACCTCTAGCAGTTTACATCCAAGTGACCATGCTTACCTAAAGCATTAATTGCAATGTGATGCTACAGACTGTTATTGTCACTGGGGCATGGGCAAAAGCAATGACAATGATATAAATACAGGTTATGGAGATGAATTTTGAGTGCGTAGTTGACTTCCTAATGAAACTACTTGAACCCCAACACCATAATTCAAGTTCTTACTAACGTGCACAACGGCTCTTCTACAGGTCTGCCCCCATGCTAAGAGAACGGCACGCATAATAAAGGTCAGGGCACGTTAGCAGTGTGTGAATCAGTGGATTCTAAATTATGAAAGCAGCTGGTAAATGGCATAATTGCCAAGAAGAAAAAGGTCATATGTTACAAGTTTAAATAAAAAGTAAACAACTTGTGTCGGATTAAATATACAGCATCTTTGTTTCATGTTTTGCTGGACAATGCTGTGTTATTTTATAGTTCTCTTTTGTTTGTTTTTTTAAAAGATTATTTGATCACATTTGAGCTCTGTTTTCTGTCAGCCATGCTTCGCTAGGTTGAAAAAAAATCATCTAAAAACAAAAACACTGTTTCTCAAACTTTACTTGAGTCCCAGCCAGACAGAGAGAATGAGAAAGAGCAGCCGGAGTAAGTCCAGGCCCAGCTGTCTGAAGATTTCAGTCAAGCTAACAGTAGTCTGATCTTCTCCACTGTCTGTGAGTTTCAAGAGCTTTCAGACAGGCACCCAGATACTCTTATCCAATCTACGCTCTCCCAGCGCAAATGTCAAGTGCACCGTCACTTCAAACCCGCATTAGTCCTTTGGTTAGAAATCAATAACACAGCATGATATTAGTGCAAATCAATGTGCGCGCTGCAAGCCGCGGTTATTCCAAGCATGTTGAATTTCATTATTCTCTGAGCACCCATTCTATGCTGTCACCTAATTCTGCTAATAAAAGATAAGAAATATGGCTTTGCCTTCTAATAAAATGTCATTCTCTGACATTTCCTTTATGCAATTGGGCAATCAGAATAGCTAATATCACAAGCATTTTACACTTTACAAATAATTCTCTCTATGATGAAAATACCACACAGCAGAAAGTATGCTTTCCTTGCTATACCGTTTGACAAACTCCTCTTTGTTTAAACTTAATTTTTTAACATTAAAACAATTGAACTTCTTTCTTTCACGGACACCACGCTGCATTTCCCCACAACATAATGATATTAGTGCAAAATCCCTGAGCTCACAGCACCTAGTGCCACTTCTGAAATAGCACGTTGTCTACAGTAAATTCACCTGTTTTACCCCGGCGCTTAAAAGTTATCTCATATAGACAGTAGCAGCCACTGCACTAGCAGCCAGATCTGTGCAAAGCAGCAGGAGAAACAACAGCAGCAGCTCCAGCAGAGTGAGCCGTCATGCAGCAAACAAGACAAAATGAAGAGACGGGACAGCATTACTGACTGATGCATCCCGCTAAGGGGCCAACCTACAGTGCCTACTGTGACTGAGCAGCATGGCATTACTGGGGTGACAGCGGTATTTCACTGGCAGACTGCGGGCCCGGTTCAGTCGACTTTCAGCCAGGGATCTGGTCGCCACGTCTCCTGGACCTGAGATACTGAAGCGCAATTGCGAGGGGTCGTCCCCGGGCCCCAGCCGCATGTGGAGCAGGCATCCTTTACGGTTATTAACGAGAGGGATGTTGACTGTGCCCGGGCTGACCAGGGGGTCCTGGCTGGGGTGCAGGGCATTGGGAAGGAATACATTTGAGGTGATGGAGGTGGAGATGCAGCCGGTGGTTTTAAGTGTTCTGTTTTGAAAAGGCGGTCTAACTTCATCCGTTACTGTCAAATAGTGGAGAACAAAGAGTGTGAGAACGCCTGCTTTAAATGCTCAGAAATGACTGAGTAATGAAGTGTTATTGTATTTCAAATTTTGTTAAATAGATATTTCAGGGTAAATTCCATAAAACAGTCATTATTTCACAGCATGTTAAAATGAATATCTGATCACTATTTAAGAAAAAAATGCAATTTAAGTTTTGACTGAACCAGCTTAAAGCAAAAATATAACAATAATAATATTAATAAATAAAGGTAGGAATTTTCTAAAAATAGTTGAAGCCTTCCTAAAGAAATGTTCACCGTATTATTTGCTTTTCATTTGTGTTAAATTCATTAGAAGCCTCTTAACTTTACTTCTCATTTGTGCTGCGCTCGGGTAGAACAAAGCCGAGGCATGGCTTGGCTAAAGCCAGTCAAAACCAATTAGATATTGTCACTTCAAGTGAGCGTGGCACACCACAATAATGTCAACAAATAGAACTAAATATTTATAATATTATAAATTCAAAACATCTAATCATTAAACATGTATTGGATTCCTTTTGGATTATGTACACAAGTGTGATTTAATTCTGCATGAAAAATGTTCAAAAACAGAGCATTTGGAATTTTTACTATTACACTAAATCGCTTGAGTATGAGAATAAATACTCGCATATGTACCAAATATGTTCAGCAAGTCGTTTCACCAAACTCACAGAAACACACACTCACACACAGTCCATCTGTGGCTGCAGAGTCAACCCGCATGTTTGTATGTACTGAAAGGGTCATGGCACACTGCAGGAAGACAGCAGTGGGAGATGAGTAAAATATCTGGTTGCAAAGTTGACTTGGAGAGGCGGAGCCCTTTTCCTCCCTTTGGTTGAAGGGTGGTTGGTTGGTTGTTTGGAGGAGAGAGCATGCTTGGGTGGCCCTGGGCGATAAACAGACGTTTATCCCAGCCGTCAGCTGCCTCCTTGATTTACAGGGCGCCACCGATAGCTCCTGGATTCATCTGGCCCTTGTCAAACACGTGCAGCGTTACAGAGTGTTCACCCGCCCTGGCAGGTCCACTGTGCATCCTGAACAACCCAGACGGCAACTGTCCCTTCTTGAAATGATAATCACATGACGGTACTGTCCTGCATGCAAGCCTTATCAGATCGCCGTGACCCAATGTAAACTGGATGATGAGGCGGAGGAATAACAAGTAAAAATGTTTACTTTACTATGTGAGCTAAGCTGGCTTTGCCTTTACAGTGTTTGCTGCATGAGCGAGCTTTGTTCTTCAGCTGCACTGCAACTGCATGAAAGAGCTTTTTAAAGCCATGCATTGTGGTCTTTACAGTTAAAAAAGGGAAGAAAAAAAAAACTTATTTTATGATTACTGCGCTTCCTTTTAGTTTGCTTAACAGGTGAGGCAGCCATTATTTAATAAAGGAAACCAAAAAAAAAGCCTTTATCGTCAGTATGACTAATAATAACAAATACATTTAAAATATAGACACAAAGTGTTAGAGGTGACAAATAACATTTCAAAAGTGAAATGTATTCTTAACCAGTAAAATAAAGGAGGGGGGGGGAAAGTCATTTAACAATTATTTACCAAAGATTTACCTATATTGCAATCAGCTTTGAATCGAACGCCAGCCTCTTTATGGCTTCCACTGTTTCCTGGTGTTGTAGCGCCATCTGCTGCTACATGCAGCACAATACAAAAAGAATATTTCATGGATCTACATAGTGTTATCAAACACAAAATGATCTCAGTACTTTAGTTTGCTGTCAAAATATGTTAAAATGATTTTATCATATTTAAGTTAAATATAAATAAACTGGATATTTTAAAAGAAACACTGAAAGTTTTTCAAAAGTTGGTTTCCTTTTTTTTTTTACAGTAAAAATACAAAAATACTTAAGCAGAGCATCGCTACTAAGAATGTTATATGACATGCTGAGGGAGCTATACTCTATACACAAAGCTATGGCAGAAGGACAGGGAAACACACTTACGTGATCTGACAAATCCGTTATACTTATATTTGGCTGGGGAGGATGCAAAGACAAGTGGCAGGTCACACACAAGGAGAGAGGGTGTAATGAAAGAGACACATTAGGAAAGACATCAACATAAGAGCCGTAGATGGAAATTAAATCAAATGTAAATCTGATGTTGTCTCACCAAAAGGTATGAGGGCACAAACCAAAAAATGAAAGTATAAATAATTAAAAATCACTGTAAAACCCTAATGGTGGCACTGATTACAGTATGATGTGATGGCACATAAAAGGCAGACAGATGAATGAAAGAATTGTCCATTCACAGAGTGAGCCATGCTTTTAGGAAAGTGTACTACACCTGTAATGAGATGTAATGACGGTCTAATGGCTGGTTTTAATACATTTGAAAAAAAAAGGAAAGAACTACATTACATGTCACATCATTTCCGTGTAGATTTAGCAATTCCATTTTTTTTCGCATTTTATAATAAGAGTTTCGTGGGGGGGGGGGGTTATATCTAAAAATGATGAGAAGTGTGAGGCGGAACAAATAAAGCCACAATGGGAAATAAAGAAAACGAATACATACTTCAGTGCATGTATAAATCCAAAACAGATAACAGCTGCTCAAAACAGCTGCGCTAACAGAGCACTAATGCATAGATACCTGATTTTCGCATGCAGTCCAGAAGTCTTATACAAATAGAGATTTTAAAAAGGTTTTTTTTCATAACTTGAGCTCAGTGCACGATCTTTGGGGTTGTACTTTTAAAGGGTTGACAAAGGTCTCCACTTTTGCCAGTGCAGTTAATTCTCTGGTAATTACAGTTTTTGACCTTGACCAAGAAGATATTAAAGACCAGTACCACTAGAACTACTAATGTAGTAAGCACTTGAACTCAGAGCTGCTGACACTCCCCACTCTCTCCCAGAGTCTCTTCCAGCAGTAAAGGTCACAGTGAGGGCCCAGGGCTGGCCTATGACACAGATCCTCAAAAAGAGACTCACAGTGGCCCTGGCATCTGTCTCTAGCAATCTGCCCGCACCGCAAAGGCGGCAGACTAACTGGCTAGCATCTGGGGCATTGCGAGGCGGCGTAGGACAGGGTGGGTGGGGGAGGGTGGTCGAGGGGGTGGGGGTCTGCCTGGTGGACAGGAGCTGTCAGGGCAAGTTTGGTGATGAACCAGCAGGGCTGGGAAAATGCAAACATAATTTCTGTGTCAGGATGGATAAGGTCCCCAGCAATGAGATGCAGATTCACACACATGCATAGACACCGAGATACAAGTGCATGTTGTTGCGCACACAAGATGTGCACATGCGCACATATACACAGCCCAGAAGGTTGTGGACAAGCCGAAACCATCTCCCTAACCCCAGGCCCACGATCCTTGTCCAGAGCTTAGCAAACCAAGTTGAAACCTCTTAACTGACTAAAGATTTTCTAAAATAGTGAAGGTCAAGTCACAAAAAAAAACTTGTGTTTCATTTACAGACAAAAAAACTGATGATGTAGCCAAAGAATTTAGAATAAAGTAATATGTTAACTGCTTATAATAAAAAAGAACAATGGAGAACTACATTTCTCTAACCACTTCATCTGCATACGTATCATTACTCATTTAATGAGTTTGTGTTAAAAGTTGCCATAATAAATATTGTGTTAGTCGTTAAAGCAGTTTACAGTTTTATACTTCTGCCATCCTAACTTGCTGATAGCTGTCTGTGCTACACACAGACACATGTGGCCCTAATTTGGCACGTGTAGGAACACAGCAGCTTAAACGAAGCAGTGCTATCCAAGAGATCAATAATCAAAGTGCAAGAAAAAAATTAGTTCAGAAGCGTATGAAGTCATCGTGGATAAAGATGTCTTATCCTCTCAGCCTGGTGGGGGGAAAAAAGAGGAAATAGGGAAAGGAAATCCAACAATCCCTGACTGACAAAGCCCAATGCGCTCCTTCACTAAACTCACTTTGTTCAGATGAAGTCAGGGTTAAAAAGAGAAAGAAATCTAAGACAGAGGAGGCTTTCCTGAAATCCTACAGGGGGTTGAGGGAGAAGTGAGATCAGTAACCATGTAATGGCCAGTAATTGGTACCGAGGGATATCAGCGCAGCCCCAACTACAAGAGGCCAAGCCAAACTCATCATGGCATGTTTGACACTAATCTAGGCTGAGTCGGCAGACGGTGGGAGAATGTTGAGAAGGAAATCAGATCTGTATGCCTGAACCCAAGGCTTTGATAGCTAGGCCTACTGCTGCCATGTCTAATTGACAAACAATTTAGGATTTCCCATCCACTCAAAAGGAAAACAGATTTAAAGCGATCTTCTAGGAGCCTCGGGCCTCTTACCTTTCCTTTATCAAGCCAGAAGCACTTTTTATAGTTTCCTTTTTGATTTTAATTTCTCCTTCTCTTTGCTGTTCCTTTAACTATTTTCTTGTACACATAAAGCATTCCCTTTCTCTCATTTGATTTTTTCCTCCTTCCTATTTCACTGCCACGTTCCTACCGTGTAAATATGACAAACTATTAATGGCTGCAGGACAGATGAAGTACAGGAAATACAAGTCTGAACAATACAATAAATGTGGGGGGGAAATGCATGTATGTTTTCTTAACCGTTGCATAAGTAAAATTTGATTTCAGTTCCATTATTATTTGTGCCCCGCTCATCATTTTTAAGACCTGGCAAGACGATAGAGGCTTAAATGGTATTTCATTTATGATTAATTTAAAATCCACATGAAAGTAAAACCAACATCTTAGTAGTTTCTCATCAAGGTTAAAAGAAAATGCAGAAAAAAGCAAAACCTACGTCAACTGAAAAGTGTACAAACTTAAAAAAGGGTTAACTCAGAGGTTTGAAAGAGTCTTCAAAGTAAATGTACAAAAGGCACAATTAACAAATGTTATCATTAAAATACAGAATAAAATCTTTCATTTTTGTATATTCAGACATCTTACCTGAAACAGTTAAAAAGAGACATAAAACACCACGCTCCAACAGTGACATTATCACACGACTGCATGACTGGTGCCGCATGCGGGAGCCACATGTCTAACATCTACAGTACTTACAGCACCACCACTGAGCCACGTCACCACTTATCAACCACACATACTATAAATCAAAGAAAATCTAACCAGATATAGAGAAAGAGAGAGATAGATACAGAAAAAAAAAACCCAAGATCAATATAGAAAAAAAAAGCAAAACAACAGAGAAACACATAGACCACGGGTACACAAACAATGGGGTCACAATAAACAAATTACACCTCACGCACGCACACACACACGTACGGTATGGTACACGGTACGATACACAGAGCACACACCACAGACACGTAACAGCATGTGTTGGGCGGTGTAACTTACAGGCACGTAAAGTGGTTGCGCAATCATGAACAGAGACAGAGGAAAGTGGGTAGGCCCTCTGAAGGGTGTCCATGTTACTATGTACACTGCCTGACATGCAAGAGCAGTCTTGCTCTGAACGGCCGCAATCAAAACAACATGCCAGTTTCATTCGTTTGTAGACGGACATCTTGGCTACAGTCATGTTTTGGGATGAGAGGAGAGGAAAAGCAGCAGGTTAATGGCAAAAGGAGAAATATACATCTAGGGGAAGTCGGAAGGTAACTTCATCAGAAAGTGCAAGCCTTAGTCACCTGCTCCCACAGGCTTGAGCCCCAAGTTATAGTAACAAACTCCAAGAGTTACATTTACCTTAACAAGTCAGCCGGCACATTTCATTTTGCCATTTTAAAAGTGTCTCTAAATTAGACACATTATCTATTATTATAATAATATCAATTAAAAATACAACAGTCATAATGCTGGTGATTCTCTTAGGAGTTCAAGCTGTGCGCTAAGGCTGTAACAAGTCAAAAAGGCAAAATTATAACAGTGGGAAAGAGAGGTGGGGAGAAAGGGAAGAGGGTAGGGAGGCATTCGGGGAAGAGAGGCATGAGCAATGTCTTCAGCAGCAAACCTCATACAATGTTTCATACATTTGTACATCCTCTATCCATTTGGCTAAAGGAGTGGATCACGTACCTGTATCCCATCATGCAGCTGTAGCGGTTCTGTCCAAGGCATCACACTAGTCTACTGGCTAGACTGGCTAAATCATGCTATATTCAAAACCTGCAATTTCACTGCTCCACTCCCCAAAGGGACTTCACTCTGATGTGCATGTGCTTAAACGGTGTTTGTGAAAAGCATATGTTATTACACGCGAAAGTGTTAGTTACACAGTTGTTGTTTTGATGTAATTTGAAGTCATGTTTGAAGATACAAATGGGAAGTATAATTCACAAGAAAATGAAGAATTAACCATTAATTTGATCCTCTAATTAATATCCCCAAATTATCAATTGTTTGCAGCACATATTTACACATTTAAACACAGTGTGTGCCTGATTTTAAACACTAGTTTGTACCTGGGAAATTCTGAATTTCCGTTTAAAAAATTTATCTAATGTTCTCCGTATACCATAAATTTATAACCATTCACGGGCCATTATAATACATATAATTTTTTCTTTCGAGCAACCAGCAAAACTGGTTCCCAACTAGCATTTCCAACATGAAATATAAAAGCATTTGAGCATTTACATACACCTACGTTTTTTTCAAGCTTGCTGTTGTGTGCATCAATTCAGCACATACAGCCCAGTGAATCTTTCAAATGGTTCCAGTCCACTTATGTTTCTTTTCAATTATCGCCCAAGTAGAAAACAGGCAAGATGACGATCTGGTGCGCTAATTAAGTAAAAAAGGATGTAAAAGTAGTATTACGCCAGACAAAAGTTTTAGCTACAAAAGTCAGCCTACAGCCAAGTGTATGTATGAGTGGTGTGTGAAGCCCTTGAACCCTGAGGGAAGCGGGAGTGAAAGTCCCCAGAGTAGCATCTCTAGATTGCTGTGACTCTGGACAGAAACAGTCCCTGGTCCCCATTCTCTCATTGCCAAGGTGTAAACAGACAGCAGACTAATACTGTCTGGCACCTTTACAAAGATGCTTTCAGCATCTTTGACTCTGACTCACATTGGAAAATAAGACCTTGAATGAAGTAATATGTTTTCAGCTCCTGGCCAAGGAAAGAATGGGAAACACAGATCATATCCCATGAGATGAATGCATCAGGGACTGCTGTATCCTGTGACATGCATATGTGCCTTACTAGAATGTGGAAAGCATGCAGGAAATGTAGCTTAAGTCCTGGCAACAAGGAGAAGTACACAGATAACTGTTCACAGTAATGAAACAGTTTTGGGAACATGGCGGACAAGTGCAGTGAGGCCATCAGGTCATGCTGAAGTTTCTTTGCTTCGGTGGTTTTGTTTGGGCGCTTGGAACATATTATGTGGGCTCACTGGCAACTTTATTAGGTACACATGTGAAATCTAACATAACCTAATACAACAGCTCTGCTGTAAACTCTGCTTTTACGAGGCTTCTTTATTTTTCAAGTAAACGTGAGTTGTCACGTTCTGGCCTGTAAACATGTCTTTAACCCTCTTTGCATGTAATCAAGTGGACAAATGCAGTAAGATGAAGAATTGAAATAAAAGTAGACTCTATGGCAGAGCTGTTGTATTGGTCTGCATTTAGCGTCACATGTGTACCTAATAACAGCAGCCCATGAGCGTGTATGCCACAATGTAGACTTCTGACAAATGGAAGGGGAGCAATGAAAGACACGAGACACATACACATACACGCACACACGCACACACACAAAGACAATGTATTTTACTTCTGACTTCACAAATACCTAGATTCTGGTTTAAGATGACAAGGTGTCCATTTCAGGGCATTCCTAACTGAAGATTCAACATAGCAGCGACCCTGATCAACTGTCTGTGTGGGCTTGATTGGCTACTACCGCCTACAAACCACTAATATTCTGTAAACAGAAGCTTTCAGGGTGCTATGTTGAATATGAAGGATGTCCCACAGAAAGCAACATTCTGATATCCACCTAAAGCCTCCTTATTCAGCAACAGTGCAAGGAAAAAGGATACTGTTGGCTCAAGAGGTGAACCTTTGAGCAATAACTAACAGAGAGTGCAGTATCCTGTCAGAGTGGGGCACATAAAAGTGGACAAAACAAATACTTTTTTTCTTGAAAAAGCCAACTTTGTACACAAGTGCACACCCCTCACCATACCATACAATGCTTTATATTGTAACATATGGATATAAAAACAATGTGAAATAACATGATAAGGATGATAAATCTGTAAAGCCGTACAAACTGATTTATTATCCTAAAACAAAAAGGCACCCATCTGATCCTTGCAATGTTGCTGAACAGGTCTCAGGGGATTAGAGTTTCCTCTACAGACATCATCATTTAACTATGGATATCTATTACCGCACAAGACTCTGGCACGGCACTACCATCTAGTGGGAACTGAAAATTATGACAATGCCGCGTATTAATCCTAGACTTGTCTCCCAGTAAAGCAAGTTAAACAAAATGGCCCAACGACAGTCTGTGTTTGAAAGGCACAAGGCTCGTGCAGTTCTGAAAAGAACCAGTGATCTCTGAAACATCAGCCCAGGCTGGGCCAGGGCCCGGAGTTTATAAAGGGGCTGAGATCACAGCAAAGGGGGGTAAAAGGGGAGACCAGATTGTTTTGATTGTGTTTTGGCAACGTAGCTTGACGGGATTTGAAGAACATCCCAGAAGGACGTTTTCTGCTCTCTGCCACACAAAACTTCCTTTGACAGAAAGCAGATCATTTTAAATAGCAGTAGATCTTTCCCCCGTGTGTTAGTTCCTCTAAATCTGTTTTTAATGTACGACATCTCAGATTTTTATTCTTCTGTTCTTTCTCTGAGCAAATACACTATAAAGAGGTTAATCACATGTAATGACACAAGACTCGCAGCAGATTGGCTTTTAAATGCCAAATACGTGTTTGGTTTGATGATCAAAGAGTGAGCAAAAACTGCACACCTCATCGGCCGCATCCAATCGTGTAGCGCTTTATTTAATTGTCATCTCCAACAAATCAGATCATCAGCCGGCTGAGCCACTGAGGAGCAGAGGCCTGATGCTGGTGCGAGTTCAATATCTGCTGTTTTGGATTCAGTTTGTTCTGAGCACCGTGTAGAAATGGGAGGCGAGGAGAGGGATGCAGAAGCTACACCGGTAACATGCAACATAGATACAATATACTATTTGCTGAAAAGGAAGAGAAATTAAAAAAAAACAAAAAAAAAACACTTGCACTGCACTCTGGGTAATTAGACACCCATTTTCATTTTACTCACAATAAATCACTACCAGTGAGTAGTTAAAATAAAGTGGTGTTTTCCAATGGCAGCAGGGAAGGAAATACATCAAAAGTGTGTCACTGGTCATAAAGAAACATGGGAAAAAACAACAGAAGAGAACAAAACATGACAGAACAGAACATACAGTTGGACAGAATTCCATTACAGTAATGGAACTGTCATCTTTTTAATGCAACTCTCTTGTCAGCAACAAATGTAATAAGATAAAACATAACGCCATCAGCTGAGTCTCAGGAAAGCAAACAGAGGTAAATAGTTGTGGTAAATAAAACTAGAGTGTGAAAAGCCTGTTGATTCTATTGCGTTGACAGAGCAGAAAGCGTCTGAATAATTGAAATGGCACAGACAAAAGAAGGAACTGGAGGGTACCTATTTTAAAACCAGGCTATGTCTGTAACGGACTGCTCACCGTAACAGCCTGTGACCTTTTATGGAAACATAGAATATTAACCTGAATTATTTATCCATCAGCTAACACATTCTGACAAGTATCTTCTGCACATAGGTCAGGATGTATTTGCGTGCTTTTCCTGCCTTAATGGTAATGTTGTATCTGCATAAAACATTTCATTGATTTGATGTGGGTGTTTGCATAGCTAAATTAGAAAATTAACAGCTAGCAACCCTATCCAAACCATTTGTGACCTTAAAACAATTGAGAAGAATGAAACAGCCTTAAAATATTTCACTGAGAGCATTCGTATGTAAGTAAGAGGACATGTTTCCTAATTCCTCCACCAAGCTGAGGCTGAGGCACAGCATGTGATCAGTGCTCAGAAACTACCAGGCTGAATTTCATTAAACTAGGTGAAGCAGGTAAAGCACTGGCAGAACCTGAACCCATCCTTTATAATTGCAACATAGGGCACTTGGTGGATCTGTTCTACTTTCTAATATTTCAAATGCGAAACAAGCCCGGTTTAGACTCTTACGCTTTCTACTTACATGTTACCACTTTGCATTTCATTCACTGCAATGCAGTCTCAGTTTGTGCAAATAAAGTGGTGATTCAGTGGTTAAAGCAAGATGAACAGACATTTAAAAATGGCAAAAGCTACATTTTGACAAAGAAACAAAAGTGCTTTGACTTATGATCATACTATAATGGGGGTTATGGAAGCTCAAATGGGACCAATATCAAACACTTTCCTAAGAGTATAATGGCAATATAATGTTTAAAACACAGATTCAGAGTACAAGAAGAACAGCAACACAATGAAAGGCATAATAACCATGTGCACACCTATGAATAAAGAGAAAGACGAGACCCATAGGTTGGTTTTTGGAGTGAGAAGGAAGGGAAGGAAGGGTGCCAGTGGGGCAAAATAAAGGCACAGCTACTCACGTCGCTTGCAGCCGCACTTCTTGATCCGTTTGGGGTCTGTGATGTCATCATGACAAGCTTTGCAGTAGAAAAATGCTCTAAAAGTGACACAGTAAACATCTTTAGCGCTCCTATTCATTTGTCAACTGACACGGTTAGTGACCCCGCCGTTTGGCAGGATGGCCCAATTACCTTTTTACTTCTTTGGCATCACTAGCGATAAAAAATCCCAGTGTTCCCTCCTGCAGCTTGACATGGTTGCCCGGGTTGATGAGAATGCTGGGTAATCAAAGACATACAGACAAATAATGCTCATTAACATCTGGACATACACAAAATTCATGCACACAACATGCTAATCAAGAGGAATGGTACACACACTTGTTGAAGCCCTAAAATTGGATCTGGACTTTGCCGGGCTTCCTTTTTTGCATCATTTTAAACACATTATCCTTCCCAAAAAGGATCTTTTTTCTCCCTTTTGTTACGTGTGTCTTGTAAGTTACCACAAACACACTTGCTCCTGATTTGAGGCAATTTGCTGATGCGATACTCACACGGATGGACAAAAATGTACAACAGTAATGATCGCACATTGAATTTTAATTCTTTTCTCTACGAGGTGGCATTGGATTGCCCCGGGGGTGGAAGAGAGGGACAGAGAGATACAAGTAGAGGGACGAGGGCAGAAAGAATTAAAATTATGGCCATGGAGTGGTTTTAGTCTCAGCACTCAAATGCAGTCATCTAGTCAGAACAGATGTTATGATGTCCACTGAGACACGGCTGTCGTACAGAGAATGTCCAGTAGGTGTATCTCAGTTAGTACTTGACAGTGGAATGCAAGGGAATGAACAGCTCTTTCTGTTTATTATACTAAGCTAATTCTTACAGTTGAGTCTGCTCTAGACTCTGCTAGGGGAAAGTAAGACTGGTCCAAATGTGTCGCTCCATTACAAATACTTGCAATGCATGTCTAGTTAAGTACAAACTGCTTTAATCATTTTCATTATATTTTGATTTAAAAGAAATGTGTTACTGTAATAAATAATAATTACTTGCTTCTTTTGTGATAAAGTGGGATTTGGTTTAATACTCAAGGGTACTTTAAGTGATTGGCTGTATCATTCCCCATTAATTAGACTAAGACAAAAAGTAGACGCCACACACAAATATGCACACACGCACACGCACACACACACCCCGGTCATTAATGGTTACCTGTGGGCAACAATCATCAATGAAGTGAGTGTGAAGTAAGATATCAAAACACTGTACCCACAAACCTTTAAGGGTCACTCTTTCAAAATACAAGCCCAGACGAAAGATGATCTTGATTCTTTTTTTTTTGTCTCATTCGCCGCTCTGTTTACATTTTAAGCTTTTGTAAATTTGCAACATTGATAAACGAGAAAAGCTCGACTGATTGTGTGTTACCAACTTGATTCACACTTACGCGTGTAATAACTATTCTCGGCATTTTAGTCATTCATTTTGAAAGAGTATGTGAGGTCTAGATTCGGGGGAGAAGGGAACAAGTATATTATCACACAACATCTTTCCTCTGAGCTCTGGAAAAAGGTTACATTAGGGAGGAAATTAAAAAAACTATTAAGGGAGCAATTGAATCCATATACATATTGGGATGTGATCAAATTGCACCAGTCATGCAGATCAGAATTTTCTTTCCATACTGCAAGAAGTAAAATAGCACCTAACATACGCTCAGATTGAATGGCCCCCAGAGAAGTTAACAGGCATTACACCTGGCATGCTGTTTTAGTCAAAAATAAAACAAAGAAACCAATCAAATCAAGACAGTTCCACAAACATTGCTGCCCAAATCTGAGATTTTACAGGTGTAACTATCCAAGACATTTTTCTTGAGTCATGTGCAAACTGGTGAATAAAAGCCAAGAAGACGCATCAAAACCTCATATTGTGAGCAACAAGGCAAGCATCAAACACTTTATGTGATAGTGTCGTAGCATGCAGTTACCAAACAGTATGAAGAGGACAATAATAAAACAGAAAGGCATAGCCACTGCAGTACAGGTATAGGGACAGGTACGTAGATGCAGACGGTTGCAGTAACTTCTGTGCAGTTGGATTGTTTCTCAAACACCAAACTGACAGGAAGTGACCTCACTTAAGAACATCTACTCGAGAGACGCACAAGCATGACTGTACACGGTGGCTGAGACGCACAAAACTCCGCACGCGCACACACACTCAAAACACAAACTCTCCCTTCCGAGGTGATAGCACATACGCAGACGCGCATACATGCACAGATGGATACACATTTGGGAATGAGGACATGAGAAGGTGATGGAATGCAAGAGTGAAATGAGGGCCACATAAATAAAACTTCAGGTTTGGATAAACCCAATGCTATCCAAAATCAACAGCTCCATGCCTTTTCTAGTGTCTTAAAAAAATCATGAAAAAACAAAGATTGGTGAGGTGCTGCTGGTATAATAAAACCATGAAAAACAACAAAAAAAACCAAAACATGCTGCTATATCAATCACCGCCTACAGCAGTGGCATGTAATCAGTCATTTTATTTAAAGATTATATCCAAAGTTGTAGTTGTCTATCAACACCATATATGATGTCTGAGATATGCATACAGAAACTCCTCACTGTACTGTTCTGGTGAAGACTTTTAAACACCGATGAGTGGAAAACGTGTCTCGTCAAAGCTAAGATACAGTAGGGTAACGACTGAGCGACACTGAAAAAGAACTGAAAGTGTGAGAGAAAGAAACTAAAGGAGCAAAGGAGTTTGCTTGAGGACAAAAATGAAAAGATCAAATAAGAGGTAGATATGGAGAGGGTGAGTGTTTGGCCTTGGTACAGCGACAACAGCAAAGACAAAAAGAAAAAAGAAAAGAAAACAGCACTTCTACAAACATGTCCAATTTATCTATCCTCTCTCTGCCTGCAAAGAAGTTAGTGCATTAAGCACAAGGGACACCATAAAAAAGGAGTTAGAAAAAGAGGCCTGTGAGATAGTGTTTGGAAAAATATCCTTGGGGAAACTCCCAAAGTCAGAAGCTTTAAAGTGGTGACGATTGGGTGGAACTTTGGAAGTAAGATAAGGTAGAGGGCATACCGCTTTCGGCTTCTGCAAACAACAAGAAAAAATCTCAAATCAAACAGTTATCATGAATATAAAAGAAGAGGAGAATATAACTGTTGCTAATGCTTCTCTGCCCATTTACAAGCTATGCTTTCATTATATGGCAGCGTGTGATGCAACTTTGTCTTTTGTCCAATGCTGAGGGCCTTGCAACTCAAAGTCATAAAAATGAAGAAAAAACAGTGTTTGAAGTTATTCATCTTTTACAAAAAGTACATAAAGGGCAGAGAATATGTTTTATAAAAGGTTTGAAAGTATAAATAAAATATTCTAGGGTGTCACTATAAAATGTACAAAAAGAAAAAACGTAAACGAAAAAGCTCAACTACCTTGAAAGTGATTGGACCACGGACACAATTTAGCCCACTGGGTTATATAAAGTATATTCAATTAGTATCAACTAGAATTTACATCATCTTTAATTAATATTAAATCAACCATGCAACCTCGTTAGTACACAAACATTTGACACAGGTGAATGGGGAAGGGTGAGTGGGATTTGGCAAATTGAGACTACTGAAAAAATGCATTTTGTGTCGTTATCGGTGATAAAACCAGCACTCATGTAGAGTTAGTGATAATCATAAAGACAGAGCAGGAGCACAGTAAAAAGTGCAGGAGACACATTACGTGAAATTTAAACGTGAAGCAAATTTGTTATTTAGGTGTGAAGTTTGTGTCTGAAAAAGGACCGTGAACATGAAGTTAATCCAGTGCAGTACCTAGTACTTCTCTGAAACCAATCACAGTTTAACCACATTTCAAGGTTTTTTTGTCCTGCATACCTGCAAGGTTTACGTAAAAGCTTGTGACCCGAATCCTTGGCCAATATCAATCCCATTTATTTGCTTGTCAAAGAGGATAATAGCTCAGAAAAAAATAAATACTGAATTATTTATTATAGGAAGTACCTCATGGTGACACAATAATGCTCAAGTGTTCACCAAATTGATCTGAAAAGTGAATATCAACTGCATAGATAACAAGCTGCAAAGAGGACTTGAGAGGAAAAGAAAAATCGAGATATCTTATTAGAAGATCTACTTTTAGCAAAGTACAGTGCAGTTCACTGTTATCACAGCTGTATCAGATGCTCCGGGAAAGATCCGCTATACCAACCTGCTCTCTCTCTGCTCAGACTTGAATTCAATGGCAATAAGCAACAGCTTCAGTTTCACGTAACACAGCCTGTAAAACAAGTGCACTCATTAGAGAAGAGCAGGATATAAGCAGATGACTCATGTGTTCAAAAACCGTTAAAATCTACAGCCTTACATTCCAACACTCCTCTTTTTTGTCATTCTTACTTTGCATTATTTATTTTTTTAAGCTACCTACCATTGAGAGTGGTCTTGTTGATCAAAGAGTGATACTTACTCGCAGACCATGGGGAAGGAGAGGCCTACAAAGGCACTGGACAAATACTCTGTGTACATCTCATTAGCCACTCCTTCAAGGTAATACTTCTGCCATGTGTCCTCCTCGATCTGATAAAAAAAAAATGAAACAGGGAAATGTCACATGTGTTGGTTAAGAAAAAAAGTAAGAAAAAAAGAACAGTTTTCCTTCCAAAAGCAGCCTAATCTGGTCAGCAGATGTCCCACTGCACAACATCAGCCTGGTCATTATAAGCTGATCTATCATCTTTATGACATGAGAAGTTTTTTGATAGAAGCAAGCACGTCTTCAATTCTAAGCCGCAGAGAACACTGAACAGATTCCACATGACATGTCACACAATAAAATATGATGTGCCAGAATGACTGAAAACACACTAATGGAAGACCGTCTCTGGACAGAGATGTCAATTTTTTTTTAGGGAATGCACTGTTTGACAGACCTAGTCCATGTGTCAGCAGAGAACCTTCTTATTTAGACTATAATCCCTTAATAAATCACCTCATGTGCAAAAAATGCAATGTGAGAAATCATTCGTCAATAGTCCACTCTGTTACCTCAATAAAGGACCTCATGGAGAAGAGATTGGCTAGCATTGTCGACAGGCCCTGGGCCAGACAACTCTGCGCAATGAAGCCTGCCTTCAGCTCTGCCAAGCAGATAGCATCATCACCCTCCTTCCAGTTCCAGCTTGGAATATTCAGTAGATGGGCCTTCATCACATGAAAGTTAGAGAGGTCAGAAACACAGAAAACTGAATATATGAGTCACATTTCTTTTGGAACAGATAAAGTTAATACAACCCTCATATCTGCTTGAACTGGGAACTGAGTTAGCATAAAAACTGGAAACTGGGGTAAGCTAGCTTGGCTTTATGAAGTGGTACTGAAATCCAACATTCAGGATAACAAAAGTCCACTAATTAACATGATCTACCTCAATTAGTTCAAAGCTGAAATGCAAACATGTGAATGCAAATTAAATTAAACAGTTACAATAAACCGCCAGTTAGCTTAGCATACAATAAAATAAATAAAAACTAACTAGCTTATCCTAAAAATGTAGAGCTGTTCCTTTCCTAAAGTCAGCTAACTACTAGAAAAAGTTAGCATCCTGGGTAAATCACTTACAATGTACAAGTCTCAGTTAGTGTACCAGTTTCCATACATAAAGGGCATCATACACAGGAATTTAAAAAAAAATATATACATATTTGCATATCTCCTTGCCATGTCATATGACAGATGCAGTGATTCAGACACTCAATTATTAAATATAAAAAGACCCATTTTCAAAAGCTCACATTTTTCTCCTGTAATACTATTTACCATGCTAAGTGCTGCTCTATTAATTCTTCATTTAAAAAAAGTGAGGTCCATTCTTCAGGAGCATGCACAGCATGTAAGCAGCTGAGCGAGTGGATGCTTTAAAAAGTCACTTATATGTCAAAGTTACCATGAATCCTTAAAAGCACCACATAGCTCTCAAGCTGACAGGATTGCCATTTTACTGCAGCCATAATCTTTCAGTGAGGGAAGGTTGGAGAGCAGCCAAGATGAAGCGAAGCAAACATACACTACACAATACAGGGCACCGAAACGTCTCACCTTATTGTGATACTGCAGCATCTGTGTGATTATTCTAATCTTGGGGTGATAGTTCTTGATGGAAATGACCCTTTGAAAAACAGGCAGATAAAGTGAGCAAGGAAACGTAACACCTCTGCAAGCCAGTTGTTACTGATTGTCCAGAGGAGAGAATACCTCATGATGTTGGAGGCATCTTCAGCATCAGGATCTGCACAATACTTGTTGGCTAGGATTAAGCAGGCATCTGCTGACTCGATCTATGTGTAAAGTACCAAAGAAACAAATATGACAACATTAAAGTGCACGTCTGTATTTAATAAAAAAAAAATATCCAATATACCAGATGGTTTAAATCTGCTCAACAAAAAAAAAAAAAAGTATTTTATTTATTTCTTCTGTCCTGATATATTTTGGTTAAAAAATTGAAATGGATATCATTAGATTATCATTCTTCTGCATTTTTCCTTTACTCTCTTTGTCAGCTGAATTTATATAGTAATACGTTTACAGCCTGCTAATCAGTGACGCACACAACTGTAGCTAATCTGTGAAAAATGTTTCTACTCTTAAGTTCAACAACAGCTGTCAAAAATGTTAAGGATTTTCATCACTCCAGGAGTCTCGCCACCAGCCGGTACCTTCACTCGGGCCAGATCATGAGGGTTGAGAACCGATCCCTGGTAGAACTCTACTTGGGTAAAATGGCGTTTGAACAAGGCTTCCAGCTCAAGATTAGGGGAAATACTAAAAAAAAGAAGATGGGTTAGCACATAAATATAGCTACTATGCAATAGTTCGTTTGTTGCTAAGCTACAAAGGGTGAGAAAGACAAAATTAACTTACTTATGGAGAAAAACAATTTCTACATTGACATCATCCCTGTCCTTGTGTAGGAAGTCTTTGAGGAAGTTGGAGACACTTTCGAGGGTAATATGACCACAGACCACAATGTGCCTGAAAAGGGGAGGGGGGTGAAGAAATCATCTTGAGTGGGCAACATAAATCACTGCAGACACTGGCATGTCTCCCAGAGATAATCAGTCAAACCAAAGCACTCTAACATCTAACTCAAATAAAGACTGAAAAAATATATATACATGTCAAGAAATGTCTTTTCAAAGCAAACAACTAACCGAATTATCATTTTTGCCATAAAAGTGAATATTTTCCTCGATGCAATGAAAGTGGTTAAATTCTGCACGACAAGTACAATCAAACACTCAACTCGAGACCACTTGAAAAAAAAAATCTAAGATATAATCACACAGCCCACAGTGGTTGGACTGTCATCCGTTCTCAATAATAAAAATTGTCCCTTCAGCCAAACCGCCCCTTTGTGAGCTGAATAGATGTTGACAAAGACATGTACATCAATATGCTTGTGCTTTTACACAGAGCATTACTAAAACTCTCAAAATGATTTGGAGGCCTGTGGTTGACAAGAATTGTAAACAGGGCCTCGGAGTTTTTGACAGGTCTCTGGCAGGATTCGGTAGTGCATTACAGCAGAGGGATCTGTCAGAAGCTGTACGGGGCTGATTACAGCCGTAAGGGAGTGAGAAGGGTTTGGAACGGTTTGAGGTTGTGTCCCTGTTTATCTTCTGACGACAATATAAAGCGATCAAGTTCAGGTCAGCTTCATATTTATGCCAACTTTAAGGACACTCGGGGCAGTTTGGATGGACATTGTCCCAGCAAATAAACTTGTGGTGCTTCTGTAACTCGAATATTTTAACATCCTAAATCTAAGAATTCAAATATTGGTGTTAATAAAAAAACATTGCCTTTATTTTACATATTTCCATTGCATTTTATCCTGTTATATTAGGTTATCTTACTACTTTATCTCATTTTTTCTTCCTAATCAAGTCATAGTCATGGCTGTTGGTATTAAAGGGACTTTAAGCACAAGCATTCAATAATTCTGATTTAATTCAATCACGCTAATGTGGATTTAAAACCCTTCATAAGATTAATTTGCACTATGGTAAGCTGAGCTACTCTGCTGGACTTACTGCTAAATGTCATTTGTGAAGTCTTATTGCCAAGCTTTGCACAGTAAAACCCAGACCGAATACTGACATAGATTAGTGTGGACACTCGGCAGACACCCTAATTACCCTATGGAGACCTGTAAGGCAATCTGTGTAATGACAATGGCCTTATCCACCACTTGATGTGCCAAGAGACAATTGAACCACTTTAGTTTTTGAGTGCCTGGGTACTGGACAGCTTTGCACTTAACACAAGGTGTATTGAGTTACTTTTTCCAAAAATAAAGAAAAAAAAATTTGGTGGTCATATTTGTTTGAAGTCCAATTTCTTATCATCCATGTACATTTGTAGGACAGATTTCTATTATCAATCTATTATCAAGCGCTTACACACAAGAAGGGAGTCGTGGTGAACAGACTGGCCTTTAAAGTTGATGTCTAAAGCTGTATAAAGCATTATTGAAACCTGAATCAGTTTGGCAGGTTTAAAGGGAACAAAGATATTTATTGATGTTAGATGAGAACCATAGTCCAGATCATTGAGTGTTCTTCTGTCCTGTACCTGAACTGATGTGGACTTGGCAAAGTAATGCGACGGGCATATTGAGGGAATGACAGTTTGTGGATGTTACAGGATATAATGTTCTTCGCAGATGTTGCGTCTGTCCTTTAAGAGAATCTAATGAGCAGTCGTGATTGCATGGTTGGCCAGAGCTGAGCAAAGGGCCGTGTGGTCTTACAAGCTGATGAGCTGGGATGTCTGTGGGCAGCCAGCAGTATCTGGCACAAGAAGTCTCTCATTTTATGAAATGTTAAAAGAAAAAGAAAAAAAAAACCCCACACACACAATTAGTCATGTTTTCCTATTCAAGTATCCCGATGCTCGTCCGAGGGTAGAGGAAGTTTAAAGATTTCTAAGGCAAATTGTTTGATTCATGTGGGTTCAATGGAGGTTGTGGATCTTAAGCACAAACTTGGAAGTGTAAATGCATCTCCGTGACATGTGCATTTTTCTAAATAGGTTTTTAATCAGGCAAGCAAATTTTTCTTCCACATCTTGAACACGCCACTAATTTAGGTCCTTATATTTAAGATGGAAATACTCACTTGATATCCTTAAAAGTTTCCTGCTTCTACTTTGTTTCCCTCTCTATCTCTGTGCCAAAAAAGGCATCAAACTGAATACCAAGATCATAAGCTAGTTAAACAGGACATGGGGGGAAAATATTAAAGATAATTCAACCATTTATAATTACCCAAAAACTAAATACCTCCCTTTTTAGTCAACCTGATTGTGCAGTACAGTTTTAGCTAGACATATACAGAAAGAATCAAAGGAAAACAAATAAACATAGCACTTTAAGGGAATAGGTTTCTTTCTTTTAACAAGAAACCATAGACAACAACCCAGAAACTAAAAAAGGTGTGGCACACAGTCACATTAATCAATGCAATGGTTTTTACAGAGCATGCACACAAGAACATGCAGCCAGGAAACATCTCAGGATGTCACTGGGGATACACTTAATACACAGCGAACAAACACAGAGCTCAAACGTCAGCAACAGAGGTCACTCACTTGGTACTGCTCTAATCCTTAGGGTGATGAAACTTACTGCAAGAATCATCTTTATGAAAATGTTGCAGTTTCAAAATCTGTGTTCCCTTTTTTGGTGTATCACCTTTCAGGGAACTTAAAGAAAGGGAGGAATAAACACCATCTCCTGTGTTTAATGCCAAGAATCAGCTAGGTGAGATGTTACCAACACTAGCCAATCAAATTAAGCTCACAGACATAACGTACTTAGTGCATTTTGTCATTGTGTAATTATATGAAATTGTGTTGGAACCTCAACTAAGTGCATGTTTTGTGAATATGCAAATACGTGTTAATTCCTGACACTGACAGTCTCCGAGTCTGCACGCTTCAAGTTTGTAGCCTCGATGGAGGACTTTCAAAGTTGTGTGTCAGAGTTCAGCCAGGGTTGAAGCCAGTTTTCATGCCAAGTCCTCTCTTGAAGTTGGGGCTAATGGAAACCATAGAGTCATAATGGAAACCACAGAGCCCCGAGTGCAGTGGGCGCCAACAGAACGCAACACTTGTCATTATTATATCAGCGCACACAAGCTGAGAGCTGTCATTACGCTCACGGGTGTATGCTACACTACACAGAGTACTATAAGCAACGCTAGCATGAAACAGAAATCCAGTTCAGATCCAATGTGAGTACCTTTCACTTCCAAATAAGTTTTGAAGGCCTGGTTCAAATGACAGCAGCCAGGCCCAGAGATGAAATGAGGGCTACATTTAATAAACTTCACTATGTATCATGACTTCATTGTTTGTGAGCTCTGTAATCAGTCAGATACGTGTAATCCCCTAATCTTATTTCCAAGATTTGGAGGATTGTGGGCTGATAGCTGCGAGGTGATAATGCACTGAAGCCCAATGAAAATCCTAAATCCACATGGCAAACCACTTTTTCATTTGCATTACGTCCTATAAGCACATATCCAAATGAGAATGTAAAAGTCTGTAGCTACTCTTGAGTCTTTGATGAATATCTTCCGATTGTTACAATATGTTCGCACTCTAACCAGAAGGAGACATGGAAGGGGGGTGTGGATGGAGAAAATAAAGTGTGTTGGAGAAACTATCCACGATTTTGACAAGGGCTTCTCTCAGCGCCCATCTGTGAGCCTGGGTTGAGGTCACTGGCCAAACATAACATTTCATCAATCTTATCTCAATGACAGGCAAACATTACTGCACAAAGGCTTTTTCCCCCCCCCTAACGTCTTGTTCTACTGCTGACTCCTCAGAATCTGCTCCGCTGAACAGAATGACTGAAACTGGTGGGGGTGAGATTGGAAAGAGAAACAGAGTGAGAAAGAGTAGACAGCAGATAGTAGCAGATGCTGGCTGCCGTACAAAATTAGAAGAAAAGAGACAGAGGACAATGAAAAGAGCACTCTCCCTGTTCTGTATACGCTCCTTTTAGATTAATATAAATCTGTGTGCTGAATATTAGCAAGGTTTGAGCAACAAGGAGGGAAGAGGAGAAGAGAACTTCACAATAAGTATTGTGGCACGTTTGTACAAACACTATAATGTCCACAGTGTCACATATACTTCACAGTGTACTGGAGCCTCGGCTGCGAGAGGGCAGTCGCACATTTACATAAATATGAGAGCCTCCAGAGACAAAGTCCACCATCACCACCACCACACACACATAAGAACCAGGCGGGCATCAACGAACCAAGCAGGCAAAGCAAGCCAAAAGCAATTGAAAGCCTCCAATGGGAACGAGGCATCCAGCATTCAGGGTGTGGGAGCTGACTGAAGATCAGGGCCAGAGTAATGTCAAGCATTGATGATGCGATGCTAGCAATGACAGACAACAGAAGGATGACTTTATCATCCATTTAGCAATTAATGACAAAGCCACAAGACTGCAGGTCATAGAGAACATGCCCGATATGATGCAGTTAAGGAAAAAAGTAATTCCACAAAGCATGCAAAACTAATTCAAGCAGGAAAAAAAATGCAAATAATAAAAAAAAAAAGCAAAAGTAAAGAGAAAAACAAAAAAACAAAAAAAGAAATTGTATCCTGCAATGCTCATTGAGATTGATGATTCTTAAAAAAAAAAAAGACCACCAATAATAATGCACTTGCAGATGTTTAAATCTTTCTATTTTCTTGTGAGGAAATGCTTCAAAAGCGGATAGTAGGGATTTCATGACTGTTTTGTTGTTTTTTGATTTGGATCCTAATTCATCCCTGTAGGCTAGCCTGTATTGATGAGACACACTGGGCACGTTACATTAAATAGAAGCACCACAGCTTAGTTTCCTGTTAGGCTAAAGTGTAATAGTCATGAAAGCTCTATTTTCCAAATTAAATTAAAGCGCAACACAGGATGTTTCAAGGAGGACACAGAAAGAAAATGAAAAGCACACAAATGACTTTAGGAAAGCTTTGAATGGAGGATAGATAAAGGCAGATGGAGGAAGAAGACAGAAAGAGAAAGACTGAAAGAGAGAATTAAAGGGCATGGACATGTGTGTCCTATTGGCCAAGGTCTCCAGTCACGCAGTGTGACTTGACATAATGTACCTTTACTTTAACTGCGTTTAAACTTTACCATTCTAAAAAGTCAAGTTAACTAACCCCCAGTAACTACCAACTTCTGGAGGTGTACCTTAGTCACACAACCACACCTTGTCTGGATTTCAACTTACTTTCTGCCTCGTGTCGAGTTATAACTCCCTCCGAATTTCTTCCGATTAAGGATGAGAGCAGCAATTTCTGGCACGTAGCGAGCAAACATGGCCTACATGCATGGAATAGAAAAAAAAGAAAAAAGCATGCAGAGAGGGTTCTACCGCACACAGAAAAACAGCAGAACCATCTGGAATACTTACTTTCTCCCATTAACCGCACTATAGGAACCACCATATTTCTTGCGGTTTCCTATTAACTCTATGATTTCAGGGACGTAGCTGGCAAACATGGCCTAAGGAGAAGATAGAAGACAGAAGAAGAGACTAAAAAAGAGACTAGTATGGCGCAGAGTGGGTTGTGGAGCGATTGGTGCGTGAATCCAGATTTCTGAGGATATAAAAAAAATATCAGCCTGTAAATCCCATCGCTCTCATTACCTGGAGAGACTCCCTAAAATTCACAAAAATCAGTGGAGGGAAAAAAGAAGTAGCCCCAGTGTTTAAAAGTTCAGAACGGGTTTGGTTAGTGGGCAATAATTTTGTTACAGCTGACAGCTAGTCAGTCTGCTATTAACACCCAAAACCTTTCTTTGAAAAAAAGCTGAGAAAGAATAAAAACCTATGTGCCATGTTTTGTCCAACAAACACAGATGACCTGGCAGGTTGATTTGAATAGGCACACCTGATGGTCCACAGCTGCAAAACACATTAAGACTCATTTGTTGGGCTAGAAAATGAGCTGGATGCATTTTGCAAAGGTTGACAGCCTGTCGTCCCAGCACAGAGTTATGTTTAAGCTCACTGCTTACCAGTGGCGTATACTCGCTGGCGTTACTCGCGTAGGCTTGCATCTACAGTTAGCAACACAGAGATGCCCTTGCTCGGTAAAAGCATACTTCACTGCCTGGAAAAAAATGTACCGTTACATCACCGGGAATAGTGTGACATTATGTGAGTTTGATTTTATCCTTGGCTTTAGCATACCTTCACCCTGGAGTCATTGCTAAGCCACTGCTGCTGAGAGGAAGCAGGCGGAGGTATTCGCCTAAAGACTTCCAGAACTCGCAGCACTAAGAAAACCTTGCAATCTATCACCATGGTCACAATATGGTACACATCCACACAGCTGTAGGTCATCAGTGCATACTGATAGCTGTCTCTGTACAGAATTTGGCTAAATCCTCCAGTCTTTGCGAGCAAAGACGAAGGGCGTGCGCGCTCTTCTGTATGCGAGCGTGTGTTCGAGTGCTTACAGGTGTTTGCGTTCATGCGTGTTTACATGTGAGTTACTGTACTAGTGTCAGCCCAACGGGACGTTAGATCAGAGGAAGGTAAGAGGGCAGGTTGTGGGAAGCTGCCGTTGCTATGGTAACATTCAGGCTGGCCTAAGCTTCATCTCCCTGCCCCTGTGTTTGTTGGAATTGTGGGAAGAGACACGGAAGGAGGGGTGTCCTGAAACCGCAACTGCTTTTAAGAGAATAACAACATCATCAGACAAAAGCTTATAATCTAATCAAACAAATATAGGGAGGACACATAGGGGGAAGAAGACAAAGGAGCACAATGATCTGTGACTCCAGGAGACAAGATACAGTAGGCTAAACAGAAGGATACAACTACACTGTGACAAAGATATAGCATGTACTGTCTAGGCAATATAGTTCTAACAATATAAAAACACTACACTAACATGTTATACAGTATAGATCATTCCAAATATTAACATCACATTTTACTTATTTTATTTTTAGACATTTTAGACAGTTCTAAACAGTTTATTGACGGGGGCAGGCAGGAATTTAAAGGGAAAATGGGATATAGGGAGAATAAAAAGTCTGATTTTACCAAACCGCCAAGGATGAAGAAGACCATAAAGAGGCGCCCCAAGGTGGTTCTTGCATAGACATCCCCGTAGCCCACTGTAGACATAGTCACCATCAGCAAGTAGACACATTCCCAATATGATAGTGACTGGGAATTTTGGAAGTTTTCCCAAGGATCCCCTGAGTTTTCCACCTAAAATTGACAAGGGAGTGATGCAGAAGGATCATTAGACACAATTCGCACAACCAATTTGTAAACAGAGTTTTTCTAAAAAGAAACAGTTTCCTGAGATTTGATTAAATCCAGCTGCAAGTGTGCGAGCATTCGTCTCACTTTGTGACATCGTCTTCATTTAGTGAGCCTTGACTACCATCTAGTGGTAAAATCATTTAATACCTCACGAGTACGGATTTTCACTTTAAAAGCACCTGGCTTAACTGAAACCAACACTTTGATCAGAATAAAGGGAAGGTGAAGGAGGAGGCAATTTTATGCTCCATGTTATGTGTTTGTAATATAAAATACCACCTCCCTAATTTTGGTTCACATGAAAGTTCCAAGGGTTAAAAACCCTATTTACAATTTACACGCATCCTACATGTGATCAGTATTAAAATGACATATATGCAGAAATCTAATTTAGTAGAAATGATCACAGGCAGGATTAAAAGCAAGTCATGCAGCGTGATCACATGAAAAAATGCTGATAATAACTACAAGAAGTGCAAAAAAAAAAGGAGGAACGCTTCACCTGTCCTGGAATGTGACACATGTCACCAATTTCTCCATTCAGATGGGATTCATGTGAGAGTTTAGCCGAGATAACAAGAGTAGATTTCAATAACAGGTCTAAATAATAAATCTGAATACAGATCACATGGAAATTCCAGGCATAAATTTAATATAAAAATCGAAGCTGATCTTTCAGAAAATACTGATGATTCACACACATAACATGCAGGTTATTTGCTTTCTGACAGTTAGTTAAAATTTGCCCTACAGAATAAACATAAGCTATTTACACAGATAGGGCTTGGCTTTAATATCCCTGATATATTTTATGTACATTAAAGTTAAAGTCACTAAAATGTCTTTAATTATGCTGCCTCCTAAGTTTTAGTGGCACAGCAGATAGTGCCCTATCCACATGTGACATCAAGTATTTCACACAGCAATGTTTTAAACTTGGAGAAATTTAATTTTTTACTAGCAAATACCATTAATTTAGGTTCTTTATTCATACTATCAGACTCACTGAAAGTGCTAGGTGTCACACTTGTGTCAGTGAGGTAGTTACAGTTAGTTCACTACAGTATCATTCTTTCTGGAACATTTAACTCTAGATGCCACTGGCCGTCACATCTGTCCACTTACCAAATGTATGAATCCAGCAGCTGTGAGCCATGTGCTTATGAAGATGGAACACAGGTTCACCAGCTTGATGGAATTGCTGCACAGAGTGGAAAAAAAATAAAACTCATTTAAGGCGCCAAGACCAGTGACAGAAAAAAGACATTTGTTTTATTCATATATATATATAACAAAGCTATTTTTTTTACATCTTACAATAGTCGTAAGGAAATCAGGTTGAATAAAAATGTCAGAATTTTGTTCCCTATTATCTATTGTTTCCTTTTGTTTACTCCAAATCAACCACAGTCTTCATCACACACTCATGGTAAAAAGAAAGTCCCCAATCTTTCAGTTCAAGGTTTAACATAATAAAAAATATCATTTAATCCCCACCAGGTTTTAAAATTAGGTTAATGCAACCTCAGATGAAGAACACTTATATTACACTGTGTCGTCATTTATTTCCCAAACATCACTGTGCAGAAATTTCGGCCCACTCTTCTTCAAATATTGCTTCAGTTCATTGAGGTTTGGGGTATTTGTTTCTTTTTCAGCCATTCTGTTGCAAATTTGCCTCTGTGTTCTGGGATCACTGTCCTGTTGCATAAACCAGTTTGGGCCAAGTTTTATATGCTGGATAGGTGGCCTCAAATTATACTCCAGAATACTTGGGTATACAGATTGCTTAATGTGCCACTCGATGATTGCGAGGTGCCCAGGTCCTGTCCCTGCAACACAAGCCCGAAGCATCAGCCCTCCTCCAATGTGCTGACAGCTGATGTTTGGTTTTCAAATGTGGCACTGTGCATTATGCCCAAACATGTCCATCTTGCTTTCATCTGCCCAAAACAAGCCACTCTTCTTCAGTCTTTTTTTTTTTTAAATTGCACTGACATGAACTTCAACATTTAGCAGGCTGCAGAGTCTGAGGTGTAGCTTTTTTATTTATTTTTTTTATTTTTTTGCTGAGATGTTCACTCCTGGGATGATTGCCAACTGTCTTGAAAGTCTTCTAGCTGTGAATGACCTTCATCCCTGTAGAATACTGGATTGCTTCTTTAAGATCATTGCTGATGTCTTGGCATCGAATGCTCCAGACCAGCAAACTGCCAAAATACGTGCTTTTATAGAGGTCCTCACACTTGCTGATGATTAAATTAATCAGTTAATCAAGTGCATTTGATTAGCGGCAACTGGTCACCACTTACCTTCTTAATATATATATCAAAAGAAATAAGTATTTACCTAATTGTTTATACACCGCTTCTGTATTTTGGCCTAATTTGTGTGAACTATGGTGTGGCTATATTATTATGCTGCTTGCTGTTTATCTGAGAAGATATTTACTAAATTTTAAGAACTGATAAGGACCAGATGATTTGTATTATATCCTGATAAGCAAAGCATATTTATTTAAGACTCTAGGTGATAGGTTGGTCTTAATAGTAAAAATTCTATTGTCAGGGTATGTGTGTGTTTTGTAAATGAAAAAAAGAAAACACTTTTCTTACCTTGTTTTCAAGATATTTAAGAATTGCAAAATCTCTGAGAACTGTATCAATCTTAGTGCTCTCAGGAATCTTAAACCTGCGTGAACAGAGAAGAACAGAGAGACACATCAACATGTAACATGCACTGACAGGAGGGAAATGTAGAGACAGCACCTGTGCAGACATCGTCCTGAGTTCAAACAACATGAGGTTCTGCATGTTGGCAGATCAGCTAGAGATGCAGCCCACATGTTACCACAGCATTTAGGCACAGTACAGAGCAACATCATCCAAATCATCAAATGTAGCTTATAACATACAAGAAAACAAAACAAAAATAATACATCAATAAATAAATAAATAAATAAATAAATAAATAGCACATTTTCTAAATAATTATGGTGTTTCATGAATTCAACCAAGTTAGAAGGAACGTTTTAAGCCGTGAGTGTCAGTGCAAAGAGCAGGTCCCTTATGGATTATAGAGCAATGTGGCAACTGCTTCATTGTCTTTTTATATAACAGGTCCAATCCCAGAGAACAAGCATACATTGATTTATGTCAGTGATAAAAATTCCTACTGAAATTATACAATCAGACCCCACGAATATAAGGTTGTCACAGGCACATCAATGATTCTGATGAAGCAATCTCACGTATTACACTTAACCTAAGGCTCTTACCCCAGTTGGAGAGAATGTGTAAACAGGACCAAACAGAATAGTAAAGTCCTGTCTGGCTTCCCTTTTTCTCCTGTCCATGATGGCCCTGCCTCACCCTGTATCCATTCTGAAAAAGATCGCCACAAGACTTCTTTCGCCTCCATGTCTCTTGGAGGGTTTGCAAATTTACATCACTGTGTGTACGACGGTACACAAGCAGTTTAGGAGGAATCATTGTTTTTGGACCAAATCCAGTACTTGGGACTTGACTTCAGGTCAAGAGGTCTGTAATCCTCAAATATTTAGGGTCTTTAAGTATTCCTAGTAAAATAACCAAAGAAAAGGCTTTAAAAAGAAAGGCTTCCTTGATAGGACAATGTTGCTTCTGTTGATGTTAAATCATTGGTCTCCGTGCATTCAGCTGCAGTTGTATAGGTTTTCCATGTCAGTCGCATCACAGAGTGTCTCTGTGAGCAAAATGTCAGCTCTAATATAATTGTTTTTTTCTCATTTTTTGTTACAGTGCCTTTAATCCCCACAACCCAAACAGATTTACCTTTCTCCTGCCCCTTTTAGTGATTTACTACTAACCCCTATAAAGCCACGTCTCCATCAACACACAGCTGTGTCAAACCTTTCAAAAAAGTCTGAACCATGCCAGGGATTAACAGAGATGAAAATAAAGCAGAACAAAAACAATAATCCGTACATAAAATGAGAGACCTGTTTTCACAACGGAATTTCAAACAACTCCGTCTGACAGTAAAAACAAAGTAAAACAAAAACAAAAACAAAACCCATCTCTGTCAGATTAGGACTACAGATAAGGAATCTACACTTCCATGTAAACATGTGTTTAGGGCATAAATTCCTTAAACTTTTTTTTTTAA